CCAAAGTCAACTCTCTTTTATGTGTCTATGTGGCGTTGTTCCAGCTGCTAAATTCATGATTCTTCCCTTCAACTGAGACATCAGCAATATGCAAATAACCTAGAGTAAGTGCTCCCAGGAAACACACTTATTTGTGGATTCTCTTTCCTTGGGCCATAATGATGACACTATCTTCTCAGTTCTCAGAAAAATCGTTTGCACAGCAGAAGTTTGGTCAAAAAGAAATTTGTATTTTTAAGACCGCAAAAAATGTTGTTAGGCAGTCTTCAGGTTTTTAGGTCAACGGCTGATGTAATTTTTCTTGTTAGTAGAAAAATGTAAAGAAAAAAAGCCACAGCCAAAAACAGTTCCAGCAGTCTGGATAAAGCGCGTGGGGAGTATTATTTTAATACATATAGAAATTGTATTGCATTCTGCAAAGTAATTTTGGACGGTAATAAAACACATTTTCAATAACTGGGCATTCCAGATAGTCTGTGGGAGTAACGAGAAATGAGAGATAAGTTGTTTATATTCATCTCTTTCCGTACTCAGGTTGTTGCTTCCACAGTTCATTCAAATCTCTCAGTCTGTCTGCTATTGAAGACTGCTGCTGCCCGCGGGAGATACACCCCTCTTCAACAGCATACACCATCTCCATTTTCAGTCCCAGTAAAGTGTTCTTATTTGCTAGTTGAATGAACTAAGAGACAACATGTGTCATTTGCAACTGTCACATTTGCATCTCTATGACGCATACGTGCTCTCAAGTGCATTGCTTTGAGGGTCCATGCACTCTTTAATGTCCCCCTGCACTCAAAGATGCATTTTGCTAATTGTCTCTTCACTAAGATATTTAAGCTTCACTGTGCAGAATGATGCATGTGCAGAGTTTGACTTACTTACAACTGTTTTCACATTAATCTGCTGAAGAGGGAACGTTTCTCTGTGATCATCTGAGTTTAGCACATGTACATACATTAGAAGCCAATTTTGGTCCAATATGCAACTTATACAAGTGTAATGTGAAAACCTGAAGCCTTTAACACACATATACACTGAGAATGGCCTTTTCAGTGGAGTAGGAGACAGCTTGTGTTTAAATACAAAAAAAGAAATACATATTTTTACTCATACTTGTATTGCTATTTAACCACAGTGAGTTTAAGAATAAATTAGCATTGAAATACTCAAGTGTAAAGGACATACTTGAGTAAATGTACTTAGTTACATTACCACTGCTTTTTACTGTATTTAAAAAATAAGCATTTATATGTATGTTCTGAGATTATGTCCACTTTACACAGAAAACAAAGCACAGAACTGGTGAAAAGTTACACCCACTTCAATACCCAAGTATCGTCAGTGTAAAGCCCATTATAGTATTGACAGCCTTGTCTGTTCACTCAGGGCTGTTAACCACAGGACGCGGGTCAATAATATAAGCTGCAGCGCCCTTAAAAACAAAAGAGCAAAACATAAATAGTTGAATTACATTGTGATGAATAACAGTCTGATTGATATACCATTGATTGCAAAGAAAGTAGGTTAATAATAAGAGCATATACTCCATCCTCGCTGATGTGCTAATATCTTAATGGGACGACTTGACAACATGGACTCATTGCTCACGGCAGCTACTTGGCACTGATCCAGTCTTCACCAAAGAGAGGAGATAAAGGAGAGGGTGGATCAATGCAGGGCAGAAAGACATGCTGCGTATTGTGGAGCAGATTTATAATACAGTTTTTAATAGCATCACACAAAGAAAGATTGTATTTTCCAGAAAAGGCTTCTTGAGGAGGAGGTCTGCAGCAGTGTCGGATATTTTCTATCTGTGTTCTCGTCTCGTTAGTCGCCAACAGTGTGTCTCTTTGTCTGCCTGCCATAAAAACTGATGATGGAAAGCTTGAAAAGACTTGAAAACTCACTTTCAAATCCAGCACTTAATGATCAGATTAATTATTTTCAAGAATATTACAGTCAGCATCTCAAGCCTCTCCTGGACAACGTTAAAGGAGTAGTTCAATGCTGTCCTGTTGAGACTTGGATGGAAGATTGATAGTCTCATGTCTGTACATTAAATATAAAGCTAGAGCCAGAGGATGATTAGCTTAGCTTAGCTTAGCTTAGCATAAATACAGGAAACAGGGGGAAACAACTAGCCTAGCTCTGTCCAAAGGTAACAAAAAACCCACGTAACAGAACTTCTGAAACTCCCTATAACATCTTTCTATCCAAGTGTAAAAAGTGACTTCCTGGGCTTCCAAACTGGCGGTTTCCCTGGTTTCTAGTCTTTAGGCTATGCTAGGCTAACAAGCTGCAAGCCATTAAAACATTGGTTCTCATTTAATTCTTGGTGAGAAAGCGTATTTCTGCTTCTCTTTTAAATGGCTCCAGACCAAACCTAAGTGCCAGCTTGAGAGACACTGCATCTCCTAATCCTCATTCTTAACTGTTACTTGTGGGCTTTGTTTAGCCATGCCGCTCCCAACAAAATAACCACTCCTTTCTGCCTCTTGGTAGAAGTGGGGCAAGTGCAAATCCATGAAATATGTAAAGGGTAAAGTCTTAAGCCTGCCCACCACTTCCAGCTATCTTGGGACCAGGAAGATTAGGGTTAAGAGGAGAAAGGGGAGTGCATGAACAAACACTTCACTCCATCAACCACATTTTCAGTATGTTGAAAGTTTTATTTCCTCATTTTATCCATGTGTCTCTGTCAATAATAAATGTGAACACTTGCTTGTTTGCCAAGTTTGGATATCATCACATTTTCATACATACTATACATCTTGAGGCACCAATGCAGTAATAAAATGTTATGATCATTATGTTTCAGAGTGTTGCAGCTTGACTTTCTTACCTGTTATGTTTCAAAAGCTTGGTGACGTCTTCATATTGAGGTCAGTTTTCTCTGCTCTAGAGGGCCTTGAAGCATACAGCACTTAATGATCAACGTGTCAAAATAAAACTCTTCCTTTCCCGAGGAATCCCCAGGAGCCTACAGGAGAGACAGTGTTTATCTTTACTGGACAATACCAGTAATTAAACCACTAAATGATTCATTATTAAAAAGAGTCAAGAAAAGTAAGACAGTGCCTTTACCACCTCAGACAGCATACGAAATTCAGAGTCTCTCTGGGGATCCTAAAGACCTTCTACTTTGGTTCTGTGGAAAGCATCCTAAGTGGGGGCATCATAAACTGCTCTGGCGGCATTATGCTTTCTGCAGCTGCCATTAACTGCATATAAATGAAATTTCTAGGAGCACAGTGTCCTCTGTGAATCATTTGCGTCACCCTTTTCATTTGCAGCATGCACACAATTGTATTCTGTAGTTTCCCTTACATCTCTAATATTTTTCTTATTGTTTTAGTCCTTTTCTATAAATTATTCTTTATTATACACTAATCTTATTAGCACAGCCAAATTTGAATGAATTGAATGAATTGAATTGTCAGTATCTTTAGTTTGAAAAACATCTGATCTCAAAATATTTCATTTGCAGTGTAAATTATTATTTTTTTCAGAAAAACTAAAAAAACATAAGCAAAAAGTGAAATAGTTCTGCTTGCATTTCCCCACATTACAGGAAGAACCACTATCTTGTACCAAGAGTCAGATCTCTGCAGAACAGAATAATGATTCACTTGATGGGATTCCTCGATGTATGACCACAGGAAGACAGGAGACATGGGAGTAAAGACAAAAAGGAGAAAAAATTTAGAAAGAAAAGGCGACACAAGTAGGCAGAGACAAAAGATACAGAAAGAAAAGAAGAAATCCCAAAGAGTGGGAGATGAATCTTAGACGACTCAGTGAAGCACTTTCTTCCAAAGTCTATTGTCTCACTAGAGAGGTGGTGCAGACGAAGCAATCATTTTATTTTCAGTCTCAGTGTAGTTTTGACACCTCTTGAGCATTGAGGCCAGAAAAAAACTGATAAAAATTAAATTAAATAGAAAGTCTGTGGAAAAATATTGTTTCATCAGGATGAGTGCTTGGAAACCTATGACGAGAGTTATTGAATGATTTACCACTGGCTCATGCAAGCTTACACATCTTTCTCTCAGTGTCCAGGAGGTGATTAGCTTAGCATAGCATGAAGAATATAGAAGCAGGGGGAAAAGTTCAAAAATACACAACAAATCACAAATGCTACGAATGTTTCATAGCATACCATGGTAGTTTGCACCCTGATTTAAAGCTAATTGACAAAAGAACATGCAAATGAATGCATGTTTCCATCCACTACCATTGGGTGAATATTAGGTGTTGGTGCATAAAGATAAACCGTTGGTGGCGCTAATTAGTTTGGTGTTCTTATGTCATTGCAGAAGAGGGCTGAAGATGACGTAATTAAAAGAGAGCCAGTCAAACCTCAAACGCTGGAAGAAAACAGCGTAGAAAATATGATGGAAATATGACCTTTCTGTTTGTTTAATGCATTAATGTGAGGAACGAGTGATTGCGCCACACAGATCTGATGTTTTTATCTGCTGTTATTTTAGTCTCTTCATTTCATGATTTATTTTCAAAGTCTAAGTTGCAATTTGTCGCATTTGGCTTTGAAGGATACAACTTTTCCACCTCAAAGGAAAGCGCCTGTTTTATGTGAATTTTACATTCTTGCATTAAAAAAACTGAATATAAATTAAATAAATACATTTAACAAACTCTATTCACCCTGTTAAATATTGCAAAAAAAGTTTCTTTTTATGCTTGACGGAGGTGGAAAAGTTTCCGTGTTGCTAAGAACAAGGCGTTGAACTTTCCCCTTTAAAGAAAATGAATAAAAATTTTAATTTCATCCAATAAAAATAATACTTATCATAAAACCTATAGGTAGTGGGTAGTGGGGGGGCCCTGGTGGTGTCAGGGGGCCCCCCACTACTCTGTGCACCCCTGCCATTCACAGTGCGCTTCAGTCTCCTCCTCCCTCTCAGCCCCGCCCTCTAGGAGTGACTTGGTGTTGGAGAGGAGGGAGAGAGAGAAAGAGAGAAAGAGAGAGAGAGACTCTGCAGACACACACACACACACACACATTTACACAGAGTCACACACACTAAGCTTTTCTTAGCAGCCCTGCTGTGTCTTTACTAACGGGACAAGTTTAAACCTCCAGGATATCTCTGTCGGGCTCTCCGCTTCTCCTCTCGCCTCCATGTGACCATCTCGACCCGGACTGAGGTGAGTGCAGAAATTTTAGACATGTTGCCAGTTTTGAAGGGTGAGTCGCTGACTGGTTGTAAGTAAACGAGGGGGAAGAAGGGGGTTTTTCACAGTGGACGAAAAAGCGGCAGGCAGGCAGGAGGAGGAGGAGGTCGAGGAGGAGAGGCATGTCCGACTCCTTCTTGGAGCAGTTTTGTAGCTAGCTCACTTTTTTAACGCCTTTCAGGAGTCACTAAACGCCGCAATAACCCGCAGTTCACGCCGCGTTTAAAGCGCTTGTTTCGGTGCCTGTATATTCAGATACCCGGTTTGAGATTAGCAGAGCGGCTTCCACATCCTCCCCGGGATGTTGCCATTACACCGCTGTAATGTTACACATGGCTCTCAGACATCCGCTACAGCGTTTCTTTGGCCACTTGGACACAGTTTTGAAACATTTGAAAAAGCTGCAGAGATTTACTTTGCTTTTTTCCTTTTCAAAGTCACTCTGCAGGAGCGAGGAGAGCTTTTTATAAACCGAGGTGTCGTATTCTAAACTTTTGAATGGAAAATATGTGCACACTTCTCAGTTTTTGCCCTTTTTCTTGTGTGCAACATGTTTGACAGTTTTTTGATTCACCTAGTGAGTCAGGGCTGCTGACATATATTTTTAATAAAACAGATTAATCATTTGGTCTATAAAATATTAGAAAATAGTGAACGTTTGTATGTTTTATTCAACCAACAGTCCAAAACGCAGTTATAAAACAGGCAAAAGCAGCAAATCATCACCCATGAGATACTAGAACCAGCATATATTTGACATTTTTGATTGATAAATGACATGGCTATTATAATAATTGTTAAAACCAAAACCCAAATATATTCAATTTACAATGATTATAAAAACATTTGAGAGGCTGGAACCAGCAATTTGCTCGAAGGACCGCAGCTAACATTTATTATCGACAAATCTGCTGATTATTAACAGTTGGGTCTATAAAATGCCTGAAAACTCTGAAAGATGTCAGATAACATATTCACGACTCCCACCAACAGTCCAAAACCCAAAGAAATTCAATCTACAATGATAAAACGGAGAGAAGCAGCATGTTCTCACATTTGAATATTGATTGTAGGCTACTTTTATCTTATTTCTACTAACTGTAATTTACAGTTCAACTGTATCGATATTTAATTACCACAATGGTTGCTGACAACAACCCATCACATCAGCACTACAGTACAGACTAGGTCACATTACACATCTGTGGGATCCGTAGTACCAAGATGTCATCAGAACTGTAAGCTGCCATTTACAGGCTCTCGCTGTCATTGTTTCATGTTCACACACACAAAAGGTTGAAAACACCATCGGCTTTGTTCGTCTCACTTTGTGCCACACGCACGCTTTGTTAAGGTAGCTGCTATCCCTGCCTTTTTAAATGTTTTATGTGTGGAGACGTCCTGGGCACTTTCTCCTGCTGTTCCTCTCAGCATCTGCACCGGCTGTCAGCTCACGTTAGAGATGGACTGTTGGAGAAAGAGACAGTGCAATCTGTCTTCATGCATACACACTTACTGTACACACACACACACACACACACACACACACGCAAGTATACACGTAGAAATATACACGAGATGAAGAGTATCTGTGCAAGTGCGTGAAAAACGACCTGCAGGTCTGCATCACAAACATCCAGACTGTACTGTTTGGTTACATAAACCATGTCTGTGTGCACAAGGCTTAGTGCTGAACCATACTGATTATACAGTTTCAGCTTTGACATGTGAAGTTCACCAGTGATGTTCTGACACTGCAAAGAAGACACATAAAAGCAAACATGGCACTTCAATCTAAACTGTCAGGCTATCCAAATATTATTTAAATGACTTTTCAGGCATTTTTATGCTTTTTATTACAGACGTTTGATGACGGGAAACAAGGGAGAAAGAGATGCTCAAACCGGGGACTTTCATGGTTGCCCTCTTAACCACTAAGCTTTCCTACACAGGATGAGCAGTAAGAGCTCAAAACAAGGTGCAGAGCACAGTGCACGGAGGCAAAGTGTAGTTTAGGTAGCAGGAAAAGCCAATTTTAAAAACCTAGCAACAACAGTTTTGGCAAGGAGGCAGTTGTCCTCTTTCAGAGAGGAAAAACACAAGTAAGGACCCTACAATCAAGAAGGGTTTGGGTACGAATTCATCTGCTTCTGCTGTTGGTGTTTCTTGACAGCAGCCTGATCAGTGTTTGCTGCCAGCCATCACCTACGTTACGTTTTTTCGTTAAAAGGAAAAATCTCCTGCAGGTTGTCAACGTAATCATTGGGAGATTGATATTTCAAAATGGTGCTAAACTGCAAATCTGGTGAAATTATGTTGCACGCTCATAAAGGCACGCATGGCCACATTAGCGCTGCACTCCTCCACTTTACAACCAACAGTTCCTCTGGTGTTTCAGACAATAAATCATTAGGCTGTATACAATGTAATGGAAAAATTAGATTCCTCAGAGTGTTTGAGTGAGCTCTCTCTGATCTCCGAGGAACCCCACTGCTCTCCTTCAGTGCGCCCTATTCACTGATGAGCTGCCTCCAGAATATATTCTCTGTAGTTGTGTACCCTAACTGATGTTTAATTATTCCGACACGGTGATTTGGCTGTGGCTCATAAAATATTGAAACAGAAGTGGCCCAGGAGGCACACTGAAAGACGCCAGCTTCACTTTATCCTTAAATACGACTTGGAGTGGAGCTGGGCGCCGTCTGTGACTGACATCAAAGCAAGTCAACGCTGACACACAACCACCACATAAGTTGTTCAATGATATTTTTGCTTAAGAAATACAGTTTCCTTTAACCAGTCCTCGTAGGAGGTTATTTTCTTTTGTTTGAATTGGAAATCTGTTCCTTGACCTCCTGCTGCTTAAGATGTCGTCCCTGAGCCGTGCCTGAAACCAGCGTGCTTGCTTACTATCGAAAAAGCGATTATACTAGATCAGCGTTCTGATTACAGCTAGCAACTGGGCACTGCCTGCTAATCTGTGGTCTTAATACTGAGACCGGCAAATCTGAGGGCAGCTATCAAGGCTACTTTAAGTCCGCTGCCCCATTTCTTGACCATTTTGTAATCAAGTTTCTTACAAAGACACACCTGTTGAGTTTGTCCCTCCCTGGATGTTGATTTTTAAATTTGTAGGTTTGGCTCCAGAGTTAATACCACAGTATTCACACAGTATTGTTGGTTGCTCAGGGAAAAAATCCGACAGGGGAAAATGAGAAATAATTTGTGGCAACAATGACAATATCATTCCATTTCTTGTGTTTGTCTTTGTTTGTACTGACACCGATGCGAATTGTAAAATGTGTGTCAGTCATTGTATCTGGCTCTAGTGCAAGGCAGAATAATACCAAATGAAATCCGGTGGGCGTACAAATTATTCTTCAGATTGTTTCTGAAGTGGGTTTTTTTTTTGGCTGTGTAAATACTTAAGTGATCAGTGGACATAATGGTGGATCCCCTGCTGATGGATGCTGGGATATCTGAACCCCTTGTGTGACCACTCACTGAGAGGATAAAACCACAAACATTGTTTTGCAGAGAGGAGCTTTAGCACCGTTTCATCCCAATCGATCAGCGCTGTGTGTGTGTATGTGTGTGTCCATTT